GTCAAGTCAAGGGCACTTCAGCATCGCTTTTTCCCGCTCGCAGCTGCATCGTAACCGTTTACTGCGAAACTGGGGCCAAGAGTCACCGCCAGCCATTAAATTGTTATATGGTAGATATACGCCGGTACATGTGCACTCGTGTTGAGAATTCAACGAAGTCTGAGGTTTCGAATTGGACAGACACTGCAGCGGCGACTTATTAGTAGCTTGGTTGCAATGGTGGCAGCGAAAAAACCATGGGTAGTTATCAGACAAACAGCCTTTTGTGTGCAAATGGCTGCTACCACAGCTAGCCAAATCATATAAATATCGAACTTGTACTTTTTTGGACCCGAATTTCTTTTCTACCAACATTACTGTGGCCATGTACGAAATCACCCTCTTGTACTCCGTGGTCTGTGGTGCCTTGCTTTGCCTACTGGCTCTGCGCCTTCCAGTCTACCGTTTCACACAGGCATATTGCCCGCTTGCGCTAAAACTCATGCTTCTTCCTGTCGATACGATGGGAAGAGTAGTGTCTGACTACTTTGTCTACCCAACTGTGGTACGCGGCGGCAAATGTCTTGATCGCTGGAGTCGTAGTGATGTCTTGTTACTTTTAGCGTACGTCGGGGCCACTATTTCTTGTATCGTAGTTCCATCTCCGAGCATGGATCAGGCTATTCTTCGATCTGGCACTCTCTCTGTCGTCAACTTCATCTTCTGCTTCGCAGGGCCATATCTTGGTTTTCTCGCCGATCTCCTTGGCTTATCGCTACGATCCTGCCGGCGCCTTCACGCTCTAGCGGGGACTTTGGCTGCGGCTCTTGCGGTCTTCCACGCGGCTGCAGCTGGCGCAGCGAAGGGAAGGCTGGATTTGCACGCACCAGAAGATGTGTTTGCCTTGGTGGTAGGTCACTTTGCGAAAGTATTGCCAATTTCTAACAACAACAAATGATAGTCCATTCTATGTCTATGCGCACAGCTGATCCCTTTGGCACTGCGACGCGTCTCGTACGAAGCTGCACTGCGCATCCATCAGATACTCTCGTTCGCCCTTGCGTACGGTCTTTGGCGGCATGCCTCGTCCATAAATCTGTTCCCGCGCTTGTACCTGTATATTGGCGGAGCTCTATTCTTCACCGTTGCTATCTTTTGGCTCGCCAGCGTCTTATATCAAAACAGGTCAGGACTTTCCACGGCACGAGTATCATACGACAACGGCGCAATCAAAGTCACCCTGCAGTTGGCCAGGCCGCTGAAGGTGAAAGCTGGACAGTACATAGGCCTCTGGATCCCGTCAGCCAGTCTGGGTTCGGCCGCACAGACACATCCTTTTACTGTTATATCCTGGTCCGAAAAGCCGCAGAAGCATCTCGACCTGTTTATCGAGCCTCGCGGCGGCTTCACCAAAAGTCTGTGCGCTCTGTCAGACTACGGCCCTGCCACACGCAGGGCAATGTTCAGCGGGCCGTATGGAAAGCAGCTACCAGTACATTCATATGAAAATGTCGTTATGCTGGCCGCCGGATTTGGCATTGCTGCTCACCTACCGTATCTGCGGAAGCTGATCCACGATCAAAACAGTCGCGCAACTTTAACTCGCAGAATTCATCTTGTATGGCAAATAGATAGGACAGGTGAGAAACACCAAGATGTATGTAGCATACGCCTGCTGACCTTTCCAAGGCGTCGGGATCGCCGCCCAGAAATTGCTAAACGAGGCGCTCGACGAAGACAAGCTTGACGGAGAATATGTACGTAGCCCATGCAGCCAGTGACTGCCATACTAATCTGTCCACGTAGAATCTCCGCATCTCAATCTATATCAAATCAGAGAATATAAATGAGGTAAAATTCGGCGACAGAGCCACAGCATATTCCGGTGAAATACCTCTTGCGGATGTTGTCTCGTCGGAGCTGCGAGAACGACGTTCCGGGAGCAAGACAGTCATATCAGGTGCGTTGCCTTTCTCCATCATGGCAAAGCTAACATTTTTGCAGTATCTGCGAAGGGTTTTATTCGCGAAGCGCTGAACGATCTGTTGTGGCAGAATCGGCGCAGCAATATAGACATCATGTACACTGACTATCAGCCATGACGCATCAATACGCTACGCCAGGTCGTGAAGTTATCCTTTGGATTCCATCGATTGTAAAGTTATTCTCCCTTTTCATCCTCAGGCCTTTGTATCGAGAATCAACTGCGAATCGCGTGTGGGCGGGAGAATTTTCACTCAAACCACACGGACTCTCTGCCAATAATGACCAAGAACGTTTTTTTAAGTTATAAAATTGCATCTAGACTTAAATTCTGTCTCTTCTCGGGTGAACTTTATATCCTCGATCACACCAAATGAGGACCAGTGACACCAGCCCCACCAGCCATTCCCTGTGCCAATGCTGTTTCAGCAGTGGGTGCTACGCAAGTTAGCATACCTTCTAGGCCAACATGTTTGTATACATACTTTAGTCAGATCCTCGATGCTCGTCATCTGATCAAGGGCAGAGAGAAAGTCAAAGCCAAGCGGACACCGGTCTGGCATGTCTAGCCCAATCCGCCCATCTTCCTTGGCATATCCTTGTATAAGTCTCATTGTAATGACAGCGATACTATGCATAGTTTCTTTCAAGTTGAAGTGATCGTGAAGGAATTCCTGACCCCCTATGCTGAGTCAGTCCGACGTTTTCGCAGTCTCGCACGGCGACTTACAAAGCTTCACATTTCCGTGCATATCGACCAGAATATTGGAGCATGTGAGCTGGCCATGACCTAGAGAATTATTATTCAGGTACAACAAACCATCCACGACCTAACTATCTCAGCAGTGATCTTAAATGTCGCTAAAGTTGAGCATCATACCTGTCCTAGTATAGATGCAAGCTGGAGATCGTCTAGGAGAGGATTTCCTTCAACCTCTGCAAGAGACACTGGCATGAACTCAAACGTAACAAACAACTCGTTTTGTACAGAGAAAATTTTTTGAGCCTGCACAAATTGCTGATGATTAACCTGTCGAATGGCGTGTATGTGTCCGTCGACGTTGGCGCCAGCGAACCTTTTCACGATGCAGAGGGAATGCTTGTCTGGTTGGAGCTTTGTCCGCTGCGCTACGGGAAAGTACGCGCCGTTTCCAAATTGGATGCTGTAGACTTCTTTGTAACTGTTCCAGAGAGATTCATGTACCATGAGCGGGTTTGCGGCCGTTTGCGTACGAAGTAAATCTTCCTGCTTCCGCGAAGGAACCACAGTGTGAGAAGTGCCATGCTTCTTCTTCAAACGTTTGGCAGGAGCAGAGCTGCTCTTTATTGGCTCGTCGTATTCCTGCGTTTTTGTAGCAAGCTGATCATCATGCTGCAGCACAGCTGCAAAGTCAACGTTGGTAGTATGCTTTTCAGATTTAGAGAGCATGTTATCGGCTGGAAGTTTCACACCAATCGCTAGCTGCTGTACGTGGCCCGTTTCAAATCGGGGACAACGGGGAATTTTAAGTGACCAGCACGGCGCAGGCTGTGGTGGTTCCTGGCATAGGCTTCTGTTACAGGTCTTCTACCAGTACTTACTAGCCTAGAACCTGCTGGACCGCTCGTAGCGTCGATAGGTCACTAACGGATCATTTCATTCATGGCTATTTCCATCCAAACATCTTCGTTCATGGACCTAATATTAATGACCTCACAATATGGCCACAAGATACCACGGTACCGTAGCGCAGCTGCGAAATCAATCTTGCTTTTGTAATTGCCACGTTTAAAAGGTGTCTTATCGGGTAAGCCGCTCGAACCTGCTGCTGATGGCAGCTGAACACCACTATATGTGGCTAGGCTGTAGCGCTGTTGCGATGCAGCCCTACGAGTAGGCGGTAGCTTTAAAATCACCGCCCCCACCGCCCCCACCGCCCATAGCCCACACTGGTTTTCTAGCACCCTCCGCGGTTCCTGTTCGACTATGACGAGAACTAGATTTGTAGCCGTATCGCGTCGTATCCGGCAAGAGAAGTCGTCAAAATACATTGGAGCTGTCAACATCAGACTCGACAACCTGTGCTTCCCATACTCGAGAGGACCAGACACAAAAAATGTTAAGAGACTCATAAAACTTTTCCAAGGGCAACGTGGCTGCAACCCTGGAGAAACACAGAATCGAATACCGGCGATCATCAGCGAAACCGAGTTACAAGACGCATTAGCCATTTCAAACTTGACTCGAGGAGACTTGGTAGCTAGAGGCGACTCCTTTGCGCGACTTGATCTGCCTTCAGCTTTCCAACTGAAGTGTCTTAGAGGAGAAGATCGTGTCCAAGCCGCCAGAGAGGTTCTCAACTCACCGGAGCCGCGGTGGGTGGTCGATCTCTATGCTGCAGGTCTGTTCCGCGAACCGCCACGGAGTCGTACGACTGACCAGGTGCAGACATCAGCGACGAGACGAGGCGGGACTTGGCAGAAGAATATGCCTGCGAACAGGCACCAGCTGACGGAGACTTCTATTTCAAGATACGGGAGTACCAAGGCGTGTTTGGGCAAGAGAATTCGCGTGCCGAAGATACATGGAAGGCGCGCCTGGGCGCCACGTCTGGTTCCGGGCACAAGAAGAATCGGATGGACCAGATAGTGACTGACCCCAGACTTTGCGTGGCATTTGATGCATTTCGTCGCATACCCGTCCTCTATGGAGATCTGAAACTCAGCCTTGTGAACAAAATGACATCCATGGGGTGCCATGAGGTATGCACTGCTGTATTACTTGTGCTGGTGCGCATTGCTGACCGTCAGGAATCGCTACATTATTTGAACCACATCAAAGACTTCTGGCACTCGGTTTTTGACGGCAACGAGAGCGCTATGATGAAACTCGACCGAACGTCGTTGGAAGCGCTGCAATTGACGGCGCCAGGAGCCTGCGAAAAGCAAGCGCGTGACCTGCACGCCCGCATACGCAGTGGCGATATCCTCAGCGCATTCACTGAGGCTGAGAGAGAGAGAATTTGGTCTAAAATATATGATGCCACTGTCGACTGTACGGTGCCGTCACTCCATAGCTTCTTCGAAGACCGCAAGTACATTGAGGATGCAGCGCATTGCATGAAGAGGCTGTTCCCCGGAAAACTCCACGAGACCATCCGTTCTGCACTGGAATCCGCTTATCCCGATGTGGACGATCAGGGCACCGAATGTCTGGTGCAGGTGTCCAACTCTTCCTATGCGATGGTTGCGACGAATGGGGCAGATCACTTTGACTTGGCCTATCGACAATTGTGGCTGTATGCTCGCCGCCACTTCGAAGATATGCCTCCCGAGCGGGAGCACATAGTTGCAGGCTACAAGACTGCCGGTGTTGATGAGATGGTGTTGTTTGATTTCGCGTCGCTCGCGTACAAGCTTGGATTCAGAACCACAGAAATTAAAAAGCTGCTCCAGGGTAACCCGGACCGCCAGATTGCGCACCGGCTTCTGAAGATGGCACGAAAACCAGACCAGTTCTATTTCGAAGATATAGAGTCTAGTATCTCTGCAGTCACGACTGTGATGGAAGCGGCCCGTCCTATTTGCAATAGCCAAGATGTTGATGTGGAAGAGCCCGAGGTGGTAGCAGCTGGCGCGACCGCAAAGCAATGTGGACGGCCACTCGTTTCCGATCATATGCGATGCAAACCACTTCTGTTCCTAGACAAGCTGCATGCTACCATGGCGCGACAAAATAGGAATCTGTCGTCCTTTTTTATTCAACGCTCCACCTACTTTGCGTTTTTTGGGAAGGATCTTGCGATCTCTTGTGAGGCCATGCAAGATGCGCCCGAAGCACAAAGCGTTCATGACGTAGACATGGACATCGAGCGTACAAGGGAAACGATTATTGCCTCCCCCCAGACTCGTGCTCGAATGGAAATTGCCTCGCGGGAAAGCGAATGTCAAACGAAGCTGCGAATTGCACAAAAAGAGGCTGGGGACGCTGAGTCACGGCTACAAATGCTCTTGACCAAGGAGCGACAGCAAACGGAAAAGTTAGCTGGGCTCGAGGCTGCCATAACAGCCCGCGCAGCTGAATCGGCGGCGACTGAAAAGAACCTCCAAGAAAGATTTGAGAAACTGAAGCAACGGGAAGTGGAACAGGTTATTCGGCTCGAGACCCTCGCGGCCAATGAGCCAGAGCAACATGCTCATATGAAGCAACTGGAGCAGGGTCGAGCGGACATGGAGGGAGATATACGGCTGGAATGTATTGCCACGCACTTAGAAGCAACAACTGAGGACGAGGATGCAAGTGGGACGGAAAGACTGCTACAGGTATCAGCGCAGCTTAGTGAAAAGCAGAACGAGCTGAACAAGCTGGAGGAGATGGAACGCAACAAGCGCTTGGTCATTCGACAATTGGAGGAAGAGGAAGTGCGATTACGTTCCTCCATCGATGGTCTGTCAATTACAGTCAGAGCGCTCACAGAAGACGAACAGGCGAAAGTTGACTCGATAGCGTCACTGAAAGAACAACACCAGTCCACTAACAACAAGCTCGTGGAGAAGGAGATGGGCTTGCGACAGAATATTGACTTTCTGGAAGTATGCCGAGAGCGCCTGGAGGCGGATATCAAAGCTGCCACGGAGGAGAAGGATGTTTTGTCTCAAGCGCTTTTGGCTGAGAAACATATTGTGAACTCTATGCGTGGGGGAAGCCAAGACATTGATGAGCCAACTACTGAGCGACGCCAACCTTTGGAGAACGTACCATTAACACCAGGCGAAGGACGTGCGGTAGAAGATGGAGCCGCCGGTTTAGAATACATGATACGGGGTGCGTTTGACTCAGAAGAGGAGCATCTGGCCCCAACGGAGGACATACCACTGCCACTGTTCTCAAGGGCATTGCCGGCCGTCTCCGACAGGCCATTGGAAGCGCCGATGGGAAATCAGACGGAGGAAACTATCGAGGTATGAAGAAATTTGGTGTGATTGTTGATGCTCTGTGTTGCTAACGGGCGTAGGCTAGATCCGCGGTGCCGGAAGACGGTGAAAAAGTGCGGGTTGCGTTTAAGATTTTAGAACAGGGCGAATGGATAGTGGATCGGGTGGTTGTGGCGGATACGGAAGATCCTTCTGAGGTGCAGCGATTAGCGATCAAGTACCTGCGGAGGGACATGGGTCTTTTTAGTAGCAAGAATCGAGTGCTGGCGGCTGAAGCGTGTTTTGACCGGGTGAGATCGAAGGGGACCGATGCAATTTATGTAGTACCACAATGGGCGGTTGAGAAAAGGAGACCTGGGGGTGAAGAGCGACCGGCGAAACGTACGAAAATAAATTGAGTTTATTGATGGATGGCCCTCCTGCTGGGATGTCCATTGAATGCTAGCCCCGATAACCGCTGGCCTGCGAAGGCCATCGCATAGTGGAGGACGGACTTGTAGAGCCAGCCTCTGAGCGAGGATGTCCTCCCAGGGTGCTGTCCTCTTTCTAGGGGTGTCCCACATCGGGGGCTGCAGCCGAAGGACTGTCCCTGCCACTGCGACGGCGCAGTGTGAACAGCCCTGCCACGAGGCCGTCCTTCGTGGCACAGCGCCTGTGGGCGGACATCCTTGCTCATCCGGAATGGAAACTGCTTCGGCGATGCCAGTCAAGCCTGTGTGGCTACCGTTTTTTTTTTTTTTTTGTTTTGTTTTGTTTTCATTAATGAATTGCGAACGCCTGCGAATTCTGACCTACAATTTGGCAGGCAGAGCATTGCAAATTACCATCCGTCTCTAAACGGTCACAGTCAAAAGAGCTATGGTCCAGGCGACAGTGTGCACAACCGCGATTAATCTCTGCTATCATTTTCCTGGCAACGATGGCAATGGCGGATACATTCACAAGCGGCGACATTCCTATACTGGCAGCCGGAGGCCCTCGTTCTCCGTCAATCCGTCCTTTCGGCCAGCGCACTGGAAACATTTTCCTCAGCAACTATCATACCCAAGCTGGATCGTTCCACGGGCCTTGACTTTAGACCGATGTTAACTCGCTTGTCCAGCACGATTTATGAATATTGCCAGGAGAATACCCTGGAGCTTTCCAGTCTCTAAGCATAATGAGGTCTCGGATATCCTCTCGCTTCCAGGGCAGCATCAAGGGGGGGCGGCTCTTAACTCCCGTTAGTCTGCTGAACGCATAGCTGTGGAATGGGCCTTACTGTCAACATGTCGTCCATGGTTGCATTGGGCTGCAACAATGCTTGGCAGAAGTCGATTGCTTCGGAATTGTTTGACCACTTGTCAGACTGAAATGTAATTCTACTGTCGTAATCCCACGGATACATCAGTTGGTGGACTAGCGGTAGCAGCATGGTGGGATGATTCTGCCACTGCTCAGAGTATACGGCCCGGGCTGAAGGACAAGGTTAGTTGATAACAATCTTAAAAATCCATGAACCAACCATCACACCAATTTTCACGTTGCCATCATAGTCCATCAGTATTTTTCTTGCACTAAAATTGGTTTGGCCGAGTCCGGCAGCGGTCATGGATAGCAGACCCTGTAAAACCTAGTGCTGTTAGAAGGAGCCCTCGTTCACCATCGCGGCGTCTTACCTGTCCAAGGACTGCTGCTAGGGCATGCTCGTCAAATTCAGCAAAGAAATTTGCGCACACATCTACCACGATCATGGGCATAACTGGGAAATTTGCAGAAGATGCTCGGAGTCTTCACATTCAAAAACGTGAAGAAAGTGCACTATATTGTCATTTTGACCGACAAAGGCATAAAGCCCTTCTCCCGCCCGGACACAACTATTTTACTGCTGTCCTTTACCTCTGAACTCTACAGTTCCTACCTGAGCCCCGGATCATCGAGCGCGTCTCCTTGCAATATTCTCGTACGAGCCTGCAGTATACCGATAGACGCCATGTTTTCCACAGCTTCATTTGTAATATTGACGGCTCGCTTCTATGCCATTTTGCTTGAATTCGTTGGATGAGGCTCTGCCCTCTGCGAGATATTGTCTTGTTCGCGTTTCCGTCTTTGATTTCTCGCCAGGACACGTGCCTCCGCAGCAGTGTCAACCTCGGCAACGTAGTGGAGGCAAAGCTAGGAGCTGGACTGGCAGTGGATGGCCTAGTGCCGGGCGGCGGCGTGAGCATGCTGTTGTCTGGAAGGACGGGGACGATCGATGCTAATATCGACGTAATCTCGGGATGCAAGGGGAGGCACCCCGCAATCTCACTACGGTGCCGTTCGGTCAATCACAGTAAATACGTGGAGAAGAAACTGCCATGTGTCAGCGTTTTAGGGCGAGAATGCTTCTGCTATGCCACCCACAGAAAGAGCATCAAACTGGTCAGCCTGCTCTGGATTGCCGTGACATGGTGGCAACGACGGTAAGCATAGTGTGTGGTCTGAGGAACGAGTCATCATGCTGCCAGAACCTGGTATTGGAGCAGAGAAATCGCGCCGTAGACCTAGAGGCAAGGAAGGGTTTATAAAGAGATATGGGTGCTAACGTGAAGAGCGCGCCAGGTCCCAAATGGCTTGCTGATGACGTTAGCCCAAAAGATGATACGCCACTAGGTGCACCCTGTGGCTCAAGGCCACCAAGCGTCCTCCCAAACTACGTATCCCTAAGGTCAGGTCAACCGCCCCTGGCCGCTGCGATCATGAATGCAATATTGTAGGGCAGCAAAGGCTTGCGTTTTCTTCTGGAAGCATTTTAACTGGTATAGCGGTGGATGCTTTGGGGTACAATAATTGAAACCGCCAATCTATGGCCCAAGTCACGACGACGTATTAGTAGCTTTAGTTATGAGTACACCGTGGTGTATCGCACATCAGGTCAGACAAGTTGGCCCCAGGGTTACTATTATATGCTTCAATGGTTGGATATAGCATAACTGCCCGTTTTTAATTGACTTTGGTACATTTGTCGAGGACGAAGACCAAATTCTACAACAGCTTTCATATTGTAAACCTTGCCGTCATTGCTGCTAGTCCTTTATCTACCTCCAGCAGCCTTTCTCACCTTCTGAGGGAAAGGCTGCGCCATATCAGATGTACGCTTTCGATCCTAAGAAATCTGCCATCCATAGAGCCTGCAGCGAGGCTACTGTCCTCAATATTTCGACGCTTTCAGTGAAAGCCAAGTGAGACACGAAAAACCACACCCCCAGCATTCTAGATTGAAGGTTAGTAAACAGATAAAGACCCACAACGTAGTTCAGAAGATGTAATGAAAAATGCCCACTCACATGTTGGGAAAGAGAGTTTAGCAGTCGGAGTTACTGCCGTTGGAGCCGCAGCAGCTGTTGAACTTGCCGAGGTTGCCGTTGGTGCCGGCGAAAGCACAGTCATCGCCCGTCCAGTTACCACCCGCCTGGGCACAGCAAGTGCGGGAGGCGCCAAAATTGATATTGGCGCCCTGGAAGCATTTGCATGCATCGCTGACCGCAGACATGGCGGCGACGGCGATAATGGTGGCAGTGAACTTCATCTTGGGTAGACCTGAAGCAGACTTGGGGGGTTTTTTTATCGGTTTGAAGGGTAAGTATGGAAAGTAGCAGGTTGTGGAAGGATAGAATGTGTAGTGATAAAGCCTAATCACTATTGTCTTTTTCCACCGGATGCCACCATCCTCTTTATACATTTTTTTTCTCTCAGTCGGAACATGGAAGTATTTGATCAAAGGACTCAAACCGACCCTTGTGCAGCCGGCGTGAGGTGGCTTTGGGACCTCCCGAAAACCCGATGGTGGCCCCGACGGTCCTCCCATCGGATTATTCGCACTGGGATCTGTTTGGGGTTGCGAGCGAATCTTCTGTTTCCCAGAATCGAAAGTTGCTGCTGTATATGTCCCCACTGCTCGGCATTGAGCTGAGGGGTCCGAAACGACCCACAAATATAGGGTCGAGATGATCAGAGGAGAAGATGATCAAGTACGTAGGTTTCCTCCCCACAAAAAGTTAATCGATACGCAATATTGTATCGCGTAAGAATTTTTGTATTGCGTATCGTGTATCGTGTAACGGAAACGATACACGATACGCTATTCGATATCGTGTACGAGAAACCACCCTGGTTGTACGCATGCCACGCCACGTTACTTTGCAAGGGCTGCAATCTATTCAGGAACGAGATGAACTTTTTGTATACTATAAATCACATTATAACACCATACGAAATCGGCTCTACCACTGCAGCCTCCAGTCCTTAAACACTGTGCTCGTGTTTTCGTGATAGTCCACCAGAGTAGACTTGCTGGGATAGCACTGTTAGACAGACACTCGGAAAAAAAACTAATGCAGGGCCCCTTTCAACCATGATTCCCTTCCCATGTCGTCCCTTTAGATAGACAGTTGCACGCCAACTTCCTGGTTAAACAAATCGCGATCTGGCTTTTCACAGATAGCAGGAATAGAAAGGACTAAGCAATATTGTCAGTGTTTAAAAATGTCAGACAGGCATTGGGAAAAGACCTACTCTTGCTCACCCCTCCATCCAACACACTTCCAGCAATCAAAAATATGGGTAGGGTCATAATGTTCCTTGACCTTCGCGAGCTTGTCATAGAATGAACCAAAATAGGTTTGCTGCCATTGCGGTTCCAAATAATGAGCCTCATTCAGGTAGGCTCCACCACCAGGGCTTAATCTCTTGAGGGGGTCCAGCATCTTCAAGAATCCATCGGCAGCACGTTGCAGAACATTGTCCTCCATTGGTGCCAGCCACTCGCCCACGTGGATTACATGCCAAAGGGAGCCGCGCCAAGCTGGATGAGCAGATGATGATTGATTCAGGTCGGGATTGGAAACTGGAGTTTCCAGAACAACCTGGGTACCTGTAAGTTTCAGAAGACTTCGCGCCGTTGAAATCCCATGTATCACGCCTTCCACCAGCTCTTCAATTGTATTGGGAGCAGCAAAAACCTTGCGAGGAATAAGTCGGCTTGCGAGTACGGAGAAGATGCCTGACGGCTCAGTGATCTTGGCATTAGCCGCAGTGACGGACAGATATTCTGCGTAATTCGCGTAAGAATCATAGCTATTTGCTGATATTGACAGGTCTGTTCTATTGTTCAGGAACTGCGCCATTGACAAGGTTGCAGACTTCAACTTGGAACCATCGTCACGGAACGGCAACACCAAGCTGAGGGCAATTTTCTCGGGAAAGTATTCAAATTGGCCCGTAACCAGCTGGGCTGACCATGCGATTTGATTCTCCGCATGAGCAGTAAGGATCTCGCGAAGAGCAACGCTGGCTGTAGCATTAGTGCCATTGCTTATGTCGGTAAAACTGGCGGTAAAGGTGTACACATGGATTGGCAGCGAGGGATACACTTGCAGTCGATACTTGGTGAGGACTGCAAATGTGCCGCCTCCTCCTCCACGCATGGCCCAGAACAACTTCGGGTCATTGCACTTATTGATAATGCGCACTTCACCGTCGGCAGTCACCACCTCAAACTCAATGGCGGTATCGGCCATCAGTCCATGAGTAGTCGTGAACGACCCGACTCCCCCACCTTGGGCGAAGCCACCGGCCAGTCCGACCGACTGTTCGTATCCACCAGCGATATCCATGCCATGACCGCTGAAGAAGCGATAAGCATCACCCGCAACCACCCCAGCTCCCAGCTCGCCGATATTCTGGCCGTTTGCCGAAGGACAGCTGTCTGCAGTGAATTTGGAAGAGAGTTTAAGCGTATCGAGATGGCGAGTCCAGATGGCGAGGCTATTTGGCACTGAGGATCGTCCCAAAAAGTCATGCCCTGTGTTTTTCACACTAATGCGAATGTTGTGGGCTGTTGCAAAGTGAATCGCTGCCGATATGTGAGAAGCATTTCGAACGTCAACGTAATACGATGCTAGCCTTCCAATGGAGCAATCGCCATACGTGGTCTCTTTTGGATTTGATTCGAGCAACGCACAACCATAATTGCGGCAAGTCTCCCAGTTTAACCAGTATGTTTGTCCAAACTGCTTCCCTCGACGAATACTGTCGCCGTAGTAACCTGCGACTTCCTGGCAAGCCGCTGCGTCATAATGGATAGAGTTCTTATAGCAGGAAGCAGCAATCGGAACGGTTTCGTGGAGATGGCCATCAACACTCGCATTCAAGTGCTGCCATTCACACAGGGAAGGCCAGCAGCTTTGGCCTGGGCGACAGTCATAACCAGGATCAGTGCACGCTGAAGCGAGCAAGGCGAAATTAAAGCACAAAAGTAGACAAATGGGAGCCAGCATTTTGATGAGGGGTCTAGCTGCGGGTTTGTACTCCGAATCTACAGCGAGAAAAAAAAAGGCAGATAATAGGGCAGGCAAAGATAAAGTTGTCTCTGAGAGAGAACGTTGTAAGTGTATTCTTGTCGCTTGATTCCTTGAAGCTTGCTTGAGCCGGTATCCTGGACCCCGTTACCAATGACTCCAGCCAGTTTATATACATCTCTTATCACATTTCCTGCGTAAGCTTGCTAGTTTCCTTACAGCTAGCTCACCTTGGACCACATGATACGGACCGTCGAGGCAAAGCGATCTTGACAAACCTTGCA